AAAAAGGGCCTGGGAGTGAGAGTCCCTCCACCAAAAATTGTACTTCTGATACAAAGGAGTCAATTACCAGCTTCCCCAAAACTGCAGTGCTTGGTTGGCTCCCAGGGAGATGGAGTGAAGGAGAAGGGGAAACCATCTATCTGCACAAGACTCTGCCCCAGCCTACCGGTTAAGGCGCGATGCGCACCAATCATATCTCGGAGAAATGAACTGCAAGTTCTGCAACCAATTTTTGCACCCTTTTAAAGGCCTTGCATTGGCAAAGCCCCAGTGGTTTTTATTTCAGAGTCACAGTAGTAACAGGTTGTAAGTGCCATCCCAGAATGCTGCTTTTGGCCTATTTGTCCTTTTTGACTGTCATTTACCAATAAAACGAGCAAGGATGAGCCAGATGCAAATGGGATTTAAGCAGCCCTGTCTCTTTGTTTTTCAGGCTCTCAATGTTAACCCAAATGCATCTCTCAACCACTTATAAGTCCACGCCTGCGTGGCATATAAGTTACGGTTCAGTAGCAATTCTCCCATGAGAATGCCCTTCATTTCCAACTCTCATTCCCAATAGTTTGCCCACAGGTAAAGCTTGGAAGGGCGAAGTCAACATGATAACAACCACAAGTGTTACATTAATACTGCTTATACAGGATGATTATTTTTTTTAACTCTGAAGGGCTTAGAAGAACTTGGTGAAATGATGTTCTTTTAAAAGTGTCACTTGACAGAAGGAAGACATCTTCCACCAATAGAAACAGTAAAAGCATGTCTCAAATTTTATTTATCCCTCTAAATTCTGAAAGCACACTAAACAAAAATAAGCACATTTCATTTGGGCTACAAATTGCTAATTAATAACTAACTTCAGCTCTCCCAGAACTAAAATATTAACGTTTTTAAATGAAATTAAACATCACAATCTTCTTCTAATTGTTATAAAAATATTTAGCAGCATATCTGTTTAATTATTTAAGCATTTGTTACTGGTGTAAATGTTATCAGTATAGTCATAAATATTTTCTCCTTTGTCCATAGACAATCAGCTAAGGATCTGTTACTCGTAGGACTTCAATTAAGATCTATTTAAGGCTGCCTGCTGGCCACAAAGTAATTATTTATGCTTGCTGATGCCTGAATTTGTTAGATATAGCAGCAAGAAGTGTTCTTTGATTTCATAAGTAGGGAAAAGTTGCTTTTTCTTATATAAATTTCATTGTTAATGTTATTAAAGAGGATTAGGGTGGGGCTGAAGCAGTTGAAAATTTAATTAATCTAATCCCTTTAACAGGAATTGTTTTCATATTGATAATTCTCTGTAACAACAGTATTACAGATCACACCCACGTGAAATATTTACACTAAATATTTTAGCATGTAATCTCTCCTCCAGCTTTCTCTTTGGGGAATGGTAAGATTTTCAGCTTCTGAAGCTTTGTTCTTTTATTTTTTTTCCTCACAACTAAAGTGCTGGGACCAGAAAGAAATCGTTTTTTTTCTTCCTCTGCTAATTTTTTCTCAACGTTATCATATCTCAGTAAGTTACATTAATAGTCATCAAATCATTAATCTCCTGAAAAAGCATGAGTTCTAGGAAATAACAAAAACAGTCCAATTGATTTGGGAGGGGTGCATATCTACAGTCATTTGGTATAGATTCTCATTTGAGATGATTTTTTTATCCATCGATTTCAATAAATTGTTATGTTGCTAAAAATATCACTGAGAGTAGAGTCAAATGAAGGATGAAACTGTCATTCTAGTCAACCTCCTATGATCATCTCTAGTGTAAACTGGGAATTGTTCTTAATCTGCTCAGATGCCATGTGATCAGGGAGATTTTCTCTGACCTCCCAATATAAAACTAGATCACTATCCCTCAGTGCCATCCCCTCCTTTAATTGGTTTCATTTTTCTCCATGGCAGTTATCATCATGTAACATTAGAAAACATATATGTTAGTGTGTTTAGTGCATCTCCCCCAAATAGGATGACACAGAAAGCAAAGACTTGGAATTGTTTACTGCTGTATCATGAAAGCCAAGCCCAGTGCCTTAAATATAGTAATGCAGTAGATAACCAATAAATAATTGTTGAATGTGTGAAACTTTCCTGTCTTTTCTAAAGAACCAGATCTGTGCAAAGCAATGAAGAACTTGATGTAAAGTAGACACTTACCCTGAGCTGGCTGACCTGCTGAGCCTCAGGGGAAAGGTGCCCCTGTGGACGGAAAACACAGACCATGTGCCTTCTGAAGCCAAGACTTCATTAAAGGACTAAAACTGGGTTGAGCAGTACTGTGCAGTCTCCACATGTTTATTACTTTAAGAGTAATACAAAGCAGAGAATCTCAAAGAATGTAGTCCAGGGCACTAACCTAAAAGGGATTCCATGGTCAAATAGGTTTATGAAACTAGATATTACATGGAGCTAAGCAAGGTTCTTAATTTCAAGGCATCTCAGATTATGGTAATGCTCAGTAGGGCTCTCGAAGACAAGATTAGGCTGTGTTTCCCAAACACATTTGATCTTAGACATTTCTACTAGCCAATCCTGTTTCTAGAACAGGGTTACAACATAGGGAACTCTGTTGACTTGGGTATACAATAGGCCATGGCAGCACAGCAGGCTGGTCCTGGCTCTGCCTCTTACTCACTTTGTTATGTGGCCTTGGGCAAGTCACTTAACACTTCTCTATGCCTCAATTTCCTCTTCTGCAAAGTCAAGAGGAGAGGGATTACCCAGGATAATATATGTAAAGTGTCTTACACACAATGCTAGCTAAATGGTGGCTCTTGCCAACACCCTTTACTTGAGTGCCTTTTAGATAAATTTCATCAGGGATGTTTTCTAAGATAGGTTTGTTAGTATTGACTCATTTCCAGAATCAGCCTGATGTGCCTCCTCTTGTGGTCTCAGCTCTCCAGCCCCATCTGAGAAGCTCTGTGGACCTACCTATGCTGAAAACGAACAAACGCTGTCTTTGAACATGACCTAAATCGGACATCTGATAACTCATTTTGATGTATCCTGCAGAGTTGATTCTCTTTGTTTCCATACCCCTGACCTCAGATGAAGACCCTTTATCAGGAGGAAGATGGTAGCATCCCAGTTAATGATTGTGCACATGACTACATGCTGACAGATTTTGAAGTGACCATATTTTTTCAGTGAATTTCAAAAGAAGGTGTGATTTGTGTAAATCTGACCCCTTCCAGTAAAATGTGCATTTTCATATATTTAGAATTTATAAATCTTGACAGATTCCACAATATTTATAGCCCTCCATAAAAAGCCTTTGCCAGTTTGCAGAGCTTTGCATTTGGCTCTCTGGTATGCTTAAGAGAGTTTAAATAATAATAAAATTTGGTGATTTATTCCACCTGGAACAGAAACTTATTTTCCCCCCTTGGCTCATTTTGAAGGGGATACTATAAATAGTGCCACAGATGCTGGGATCAGGAATAGGGAATTGAAATTTGAGAGAGAAATACAGAAACATTTCCATTATCACTGATTCCTTGAGTGTATTTTTAAAACAGTTCTGTTCCTCAAATAATGTACCTTCTCCCCTTTCGCCTGCCCCGTCTCAATTAGGCTTGAGTTCCCCAAACCTGTTGCCAGCTTCAGGATTCAGTTGCATTAATGGGAAAGAGAGAGTGAGAGTATTAGCTGACTAGATAGGAGAAAGTTGCCTCTGGGGAGGCCAAAGCAATTCTCCAATCAATGCTCATCTTATATTTCATAGTAGTCAGCTGGTAACTGAGTGTCGATATCTAAAGTGTAAATTCATGATTTCAGACCTAACTTATGCATCCTACAGGTATGATGAAAAGCTTACTGTTCATGAAAAAGAAAAAAAAAATCTAATTGTAATTACAAGAGAAAGCCTAAGGACAATGTCAGAAAGTTGATTCTTTTAGCAATCCATGCATATAATTACCAAGTACAAGATAAAAGAGAAATACCTGAATAGTTGACTCCAAATGATATTTGTTTTTGTAAAAACAAAATAAACAAAAATCTGGGAGCCTGTCATTTGCCATAGAATCTCCTGATGAAAGCTGAGAGCATTTAGTGCAGCATAAACAGTGTTGTAACTTGGGATATAACTAGATTTATGTCCAGCCTCTAGTTTGAATGGGCTATGAAGGAAGTAGCCTTTGTTAGAGGGAGAATAATAATAACAAACGTTTACAGAGAGCAGCCTGTGGGCTAGCCCAGAGCAACAAATGCATCAAGTGGCTGTGGTTTGATGTGCAACACCCTCCTAATTGAGCGGTGGGTTTTCTTGTCCTGATAACTTGGAGCACACCCCCAGCCCCAAGATTTTCCTGAGCAACCCTCTTATCTCTAGCTAATAGGATGGCAAATGTTTGGACCAAGCCCCAGAGCCTTCAGGGTACCACATTTTAATGATTTGTGGTGAACAAAGTAAATGTTTTAAAACCAGACTTTATGAAGCAGGGACCCAGTTAAGTATGATGGATTTGAGGCAAAGCCAAAGGAGCTGAACGTTGTATTGGGGGTATTGTCTCCCAGACAGGACACAAGTATGTTCATGGCTAAATCTAAAGCTTTGCTTGAAAAAACATGACTTTTTAAAGAACTGTGCTCTTAAGGAATGTCCTTGAGGCGAGGAGGAATTTCCTTTGCCTTTCTATAGCATCTTTCTAAAAGGAAGCGGAGATATTGAGCTGTTAGACAGTTGCTCAGTGTCTTTGTGCTTCTGTGACCACATTATGGGTCTAACACATATGGGATAAATAAACTGTTTTCATTTCTTAGAGCACATGGAAGGAAACAAGACAAGAAAATTACCATATTGCTTTTTTTTTTTTCTGAGCTATTAAAGAGGAGACTCTAGTTAGGGCAAATAAAAATGATTATTGAAAACAGGGTTTTTTTTTTTTTTTTTTCTTTTCTAGTCTCTTACTGAGCAACAATATGGCAAAACTTGACTTGTGTCAACCCAGTGTTTTGATGCACCTTCTTTTGTTCTTCTTCCATAGGGCAACCCCTACATGTGCAATAATGAGTGTGATGCAAGTACCCCCGAGCTGGCACACCCCCCTGAGCTGATGTTTGATTTTGAAGGAAGACATCCCTCCACATTTTGGCAGTCTGCCACTTGGAAGGAGTATCCCAAGCCTCTCCAGGTTAACATCACTCTGTCTTGGAGCAAAACCATTGAGCTCACAGACAACATAGTTATTACCTTTGAATCGGGGCGTCCAGACCAAATGATCCTGGAGAAGTCTCTCGATTATGGACGAACATGGCAACCCTATCAGTACTATGCCACAGACTGCTTAGATGCTTTTCACATGGATCCTAAATCCGTGAAGGATTTGTCACAGCATACGGTCTTAGAAATAATTTGCACAGAAGAGTATTCCACAGGGTATACAACAAATAGCAAAATAATCCACTTTGAAATCAAAGACAGGTTCGCGTTTTTTGCTGGACCTCGGCTACGCAATATGGCCTCCCTCTACGGACAGCTGGATACAACCAAGAAACTCAGAGATTTCTTTACAGTCACAGACCTGAGGATAAGGCTGTTAAGACCAGCCGTTGGGGAAATATTTGTAGATGAGCTACACTTGGCACGCTACTTTTACGCGATCTCAGACATAAAGGTGCGAGGAAGGTAAGAGAACATCTGTCTGCCTTGAATGGGAATGGGTTTGTCCAAAGAAAATGCCATTGTGCTGGTCCTACAGCTGTAACGGGACAGTTGCCAATTTCTCCTGCAACATTTTCTCAGGAACACCAGTGTAGAACTAGGCCGTGAAGGTATTTGAGACCCTTTGTATTAGGTGGTAATCTGTAATCCTCAAATTTGCCCTCACTGAACCTGGTATGATTCTTCAGAATTTAAATAAAGCAAAAAAAAAAGAAATAGAAGTCCCTAGGTCAGGAAGTCCTTTAAGTTTTTGAGACAGTGAACCCAGGGGAAGCAAAGCCAGTTGTTCTATAAGAGACTGAAAAACAAGAAATACATCTTTATATCTTGCCATTGTTTTCAAATGCAAGAGAAGGTTTCAACATGGTATTTATGTTTTGTTATATTACACAAAAAACATCCCAAAAATGAAGATTATATTTCTTTAAATTTATTAACTCAGAACCAAAAGCATTTAGGAAACAGAAAGCTTTTATTAAATTGGGGCAAGCTCTACTTTTCAAGTGTTTGGATGTTATATTAAAAAAAAAAATAGACTAGCATTTAAAATATGGACCTGAGTCAGGCAGGCTCCCTTCATTTTGATCAATTACAAATATGGTCACATCCAGGGATTTCTTGGTTTTGATAATATATTAATATCTGAGACAGAATTGAGCAAATTTCTAAGAATTTTGAAGAAATTTAAACGAAAAATTTGAATAATGAAAAACCAGGCAGGACCACCAACGTAGAGATTTGCAACCAGCATTTTAAGTGTGGTATGTTACCAAAGTAACCAACTGATGGGAGTGGAAGCATGAGATAATGAGTGGATAGAACTAAAGGTAAGAGTAGAGTATCCAGCAAATGGTATAAAAGGGAAAGACAAGCAAAGCAATAACATGCCACGAAAAGGCCAAGGTAGCTTTAAATCAAAATATATGAGGATAAGAATATAAATCTTATGTGTCATTTAGGTTTAATTAAGTCATCGTAAAATATAAACAGATAGGGCAGGATTTATTGAACTTACTCACTTCCAGCATCCTCTAGGCAGCCAGGCCTCAGAAACTGGGGAAGTGCTGAGATTCTCTGGTCTGTCAGAGAGTTGCCTTACCTACATGTGCTAAAAGAAGGAAGAAGTCACTGCTATTAAGATAAGGGCCACAGTGGGCACATAGAGCCGCTTGACCTCATTACGGGTCAAAGGTTTCAGAATCTTAGCTGTAGAAAAGTAGTGATCATCTACTCTCAGCTTTGTTCTGGCTTCATGTTCCTTGTGGAAATATTAAGAATCTTTATCTATGGAGCCTTTCTTAAAAACTTTTAATGAAGGCCCAGGTAATATATTGTGAATATATCTTTAAAGCAAAGTAATATTTTTTTTTTTTTTTGAGACAGAGTCTCGCTTTGTTGCCCAGGCTAGAGTGAGTGCCGTGGCGTCAGCCTAGCTCACAGCAACCTCAAACTCCTGGGCTTGAGTGATCCTTCTGCCTCAGCCTCCCGAGTAGCTGGGACTACAGGCATGTGCCACCATGCCCAGCTAATTTTTCATATATATATCAGTTGGCCAATTAATTTCTTTCTATTTATAGTAGAGACGGGGTCTCGCTCTTGCTCAGGCTGGTTTTGAACTCCTGACCTTGAGCAATCCGCCCGCCTCGGCCTCCCAAGAGCTAGGATTACAGGCGTGAGCCACCGCGCCCGGCCGCAAAGTAATATTTTTGAGAGAAATATGCATTGATTCAATATTGAGCTTGTGAGTTCCTGGATATAGAGGGCAGCTCATGTATGATACTAGCAGGGTAACACGACAGGGCAGTACGGAACTGTGGCCTTAAACATGAGTTTGCTGTTTATCATAAAATGCAGCCATTTACTCATGAACATTTTAGGAAAAGATTATCAGTTTTCAGTATCTTCTCTTGGAGACATATGAAAATAATTGATGTTGATATTATTAACAATATCTTAATGCAATGAAGTAACAAGTAATCAATTCATCTATAAGAATAAAATAAAAAAAATAATAAACCGAGATAGGAATTTTAATCCTGATATAATCGACATTGTTCGGTGGATTCATCTGGGTCAGTTTCCGTACAGTTCAAGAAATCCTTAATCCTGAGCCCAAATTCCTATAGCCCAATTTCTCCAAATGCTTTCATTTGACACTTATAAAGAAGGCAATCTTCTGAAGCTTTTTGGTAGGGAAATGACCATTGTTGATGCTTATTTTTGTTATTAGGTATTCATTTTTGTTTTCCTCTCATTATTTAAAAGAAAATGCAAAATACACTTTAAACCTAACGGCCTTTCTATACATTTTCCATTGGGTTCAGATGTGCCCTCTCCCCAAGGTGAGATGTTAGAAATGTAGATTCCTCCAGATTTACCACTTTTATCTCTCAACCTAGTCGTGTCCTCCAACTGCATTTCAATGGTTCTGAGGAGTTTGGAGGAGCCCTCCTCCCTTCACTGTCCTTTCCCGTTCACCAGCCGACTGTAAGCTGGTGAGAAGCAGCTGGGCAAAAGAGAAAGGTCCAGCAGAGGTGAGCCCCTTCCATAAGGTCCCACTCTGCCCCCTCCAGACTCTGTCCAAATCGTCAGGGCAGAACTGGCGCTGGCATATACTGCACTAGGCACCAGATGGCTGGAGTATTTTTAGTCTTAGGGGAGGGACTAAAGAAGCAAGGCCTGATGGCTCAGGCGTGTCTCCAGCTTTTAAGTTATATAAGGAAGATCTGCTAATGATGGAGCCACTAAAGGGAAATGTTGAGCTGTTGCCTGGTTCATGGGGCCTTTAGGTATGGAAGCTGATACAATTATTTTACCCTTAAAAATTTCAGTAAGATTAATGGTCTAGGTTGTCTTTCTCTTATGCAACAAATCATCTATAGAAGGATTAAATATTAATTGATGAGCTATCAAAGAAAGTTCTAAAGGTTCCTTTTCAAAACTATCATAAATGTATATTTTCCAAAGTATAACTGAAGTATTTGTTTCCCGCATGCCCCCCCATACTATGAAATGATGACAACATTGAACATGCCTTTGCATGTCTATATCTGATTATGATAGTGATAATTTTCTACTTGTCATTTCCACCCACACCCACACCATAATGTGGGAAAATGACATGAATTATTTGAGGAAAATAGAATGGAGACCAAATGTGACAAATATCCATAAAATAGTGGACAGAGAATACAGAATTTTTAACCAAGAAATACTATACAATCAATCAAAAATAGATGCATATCTTTGCTTGAATCAACTGATTGTGAATTCCAATTCCCCATTTCTTTGTGCACATGTTTGTTTTAAACTGGCTAGTGTTGTTTGGTGTAAAAATGATGTTTTGATTATCATTAGACTAATGTATTTATTTTGTTTTTTGGCAAGTGATATATCTGATACCTATTTTACTAGTGACAAAAACTGCATCTCTTCATAGAAAATTTATTCTTCTTTTTCTACATGCTTATTTTGCTTCCCTCTCATTGTGTATTTATTAAGATTTATTAAGAAGGAAAAAAAGAAACATGGCTGTTGGCAATCTCAGAGATTCCGTAGTACTTACATTGTTCAATAAACCTAATAATCTTCATGGACTAATTCTGACTTATGGATGTCCTGCTTCAGTAAATCAGGGTGATTTTCTCTAGTGAATAATAGACGAGTGCAGTGTGCCAGTACCTTAATTAAAGAGCAGCTCTCTTAGTCTTGATCTCATTTTAATTTACAGGGTAATACTACAATAATATCACTAATGGAAGGTACATTAAAGGGCATCAAGTAGCATTAACTGTATTAAATTATGGTACTTGTGTTAATTAACTGCTGAAGCAAGATGGTTCTAATGGCCAAAAAGGTCATCTAATGCATAAATAAAACCTACCCAGATGAGAGGTGAGAGGAGAAATGAAGAGTAGATGTTTTTTTCTGAACATCTTTTTATACAGACAGGGGGTTAAATTCAAAAGCTGTTAAATATAGATAATGTCCAAAATGTTTTCCTAGTTACATAATTGAAACTTTTGACTTTTTGAAGTATTTTGTTTCCATCACTAAATTAATTAAAGACTTAAATATTATATTTATCAGATATATAGATTTTATAGAATATAAACTCAACATTATTTATTGTTTGCAGTAAACAATTTCAAGTAAGTACTGTGATTTATTAAAATAATTTTAAAGTCTGTAAGACAAATGAACATTTTGTAATTTGCTCATTTGTTTTTAAGATATGCTATCATCAACATATCAAGTTACTGGTTTTGGACATAAGATCATATAAATTCTATTGTAACAATAAGAACTTTAGGATAGTGGCCTAGAAAACTCTAATCAGCATCTCCATTACTTGCCTTCTTACAAAATATTCCTAAAAGTAATTAGCAGCAATTTTTTCTTAATGGTTTTTATACATTGAGATACATTGGGATACATTTCTTATCCCTTGCAGTGCCTACTCAGGCTCCTGCACAGGTAATTGGCTGTCATAATAGTAAATAGTAATTTTTGCCTTTTCTACGTCCATTGTTTATCTCCAAGAAAGGAGCCTGGGAGCCTCAGCACAGAAGCTCCACTTTGGTCAACTATTGGGTGTGATCCCCTCTTTACTGCTGCCCCTGCTCAGAGCCACACTCTCCCTGCCTAATCCCAGGAGCTGGAGAGGGCCAGGGACAGAGCTACTTTGACCGGGTGCTGGGAGTGAAGCAACCCCTACATCTCCCTCTCAGAAGGAGTCACACTTATATTTGTAAACCCTTCCTGCTTGAATGTCACTGCCTTGGTATTTGCTGTAATTAGGACAAGGTAAAGTTTGACATTCACTTTATTGAAGCAAAGCTTCCAAACGTTTAGTGCAAAAATATGTGATATCAGGTAAGCAGGAATACATGGGGAAATTTAAAAGTATAAAAGCAGTAGAACATTTTTCAAATTTCTGGAAAAATTATGTAACACAGAAGTTA